TATATATATATATATATATATATATATATATATATATATATATATATAAAGAGGAGGAAAACGTTTTAATAGTTTTTGTTTATTTGTCTCCTTTTTATGTTTTACTTTTTGTTGTCTCCTTTTTTGTCTTTTTGTTGTGCGGTAAGAATAAGAGAATAAATAAAATAAATAAAAAAAATAAATAAAAAGGATACAAATAGATAGATAGAGACAGAGAGGAGACAGAAAAAAGAGATAGAAAGGAGACAGAAGAGAGATAAAAACAAAAGGAGACAGATAGAGATAAGAGAGAGAGAGAGAGAGAAGAGACAGAAAAGAGACAAAAGGAGACAGATAGAGAGAGAGAAAAAAGAGAGATAATACGAAAGAGAGACAAAAGGAGACAGATAGAGAGAAGAGACAGTGAGGAGACAAAAGAGAGACAAAAGGAGACAGATAGAGAGAAGAGAGACAAAAGGATACAGATACAAAGAGAGAGAAAAGAGACAGAGAAGAGACAGAAATAATATAGAAAGAGACAGAAGAGACAAAAGAGAGACAAAAGGAGACAGATAGAGAGAGAGGAGACAAATATAATACAAAAGAGAAACAAAAGGAGACAGATAGAGGGAGAGAGAGACAGAGAAGAGACAAAAGAGAGACAAAAGGAGACAGATAGAGAGAGAGAAGAGAGAAGGGAGACAGAGAAGAGACAAAAGAGAGACAAAAGAGAGACAAAAGGAGACAAAAAGGAGACAAAACAAGAGACAGAAAGAGACAAAGGGAAGAGACAAAAGGAGACAACAAAAGGAGACAAAGAAAGAAAGAGAAAAAAGAAGAGACAAAAGGAGACAAAAGAAAAGACAAAGGGAGACAAAAAGGAGACAAAAGGAGACAAAAGGAGACAAAAGGAGACAAACGGAGACAAAAGGAGACAAAAGGAGACAAAAGGAGACAAAAGGAGACAGAAAAATTAGAGTTGGTAGCAGCAGCAGCAGCAGCAGCATGTCTATCGTTTTGTTTGTTTTTGTTGTTTTGTTTGCCTCGTAAGGAG